TAATTATTTTTTTTAAATTAATTTTTGCAAAAAAAAATGTACTTTTTTGTACGCAAAAAATTTTTGTGTTTTAATCTTTCCTTTTTTTATATTAATCAAAAAAAATGTCGTCTTTTCTCTATATAAATACACATATGTTTATTCATTCGAAACACAGAAAATTTTATTTTTATTTTTATTTATGTACTTTTTTGGCACAATCTCAAAAAAGTAGATGAATGTATGTGTGTGCTGCCATTTTCACCCATAAAAATGCCAAAATAAAATTTGTTTTTTGATTACATTTTTCAATTTTTTTAATGTTTTTTATATTTTCTATCGTTCAAAATGAACAAAAATTTTTTTATATTTTTTTGAATATTTTTTCGAATTTTTATTTGAATTTTTAAAAATGCCAGGGAATTAAAATAATAAAATTTTGTAATTAAAAAATTTTTTTAAATGTCAAGTAATTCATTATTTTTTTTTGAAATTTATTTCTTTAATTATTTGTTTTAATTATTTTTTTTAATTAATCCTCCTCTCGGCTTGCTCATAATTTTTTTTTCAATTAAATAATTTTTTTTTAATTTTTTTGTTTTTACTCATTATTTTCTCTTTTTTTTTTCAACTTCCTTTTTAAAATGCCTTTCTTTTTAGAGTTTATTTGTCTATATATTTTTATTTATTTATTTAAAAATAAAAAGCTTTGGCATGTTGCCCTGGCAGCAGCAATTATGGAAGTAGGGGAAAGGGGGCTCAAAGCCGCAGCGCCTTAGGCTGCCACCCAGGCATCTTAGAAAATATATATATAAATAAAAATATATTTTTATATTTTGTTTGTCACACTACATAAATATATATTTTTTTAAGTAAACAAGAGTGAATGAGGCATTTTCTTTTTATTTTTTTCCTTTTTTGTCTGTTGAATATTTTTTTACTCTGATTTTTTAAATTAATTGTGACTAAACATCTTATTTTTAAAAATTCTGATTTTATAAGTTCTGATTTTATGAAATTATATCTTTAATAATTCTGGTTCTAAATTCTGATTCTTGAAAATTCTGATTATAAAATTATATTTTACAAAATTCTGATTATAAAATTCTGATTTTATAGAAATTCTGATTTACTTAAATTTTGATCTTATAGAAATTCTGATTTCATAAATTCTGATTTTATAAAATTATGATTTTTAAAATTTCTGATTCTACAAAATTCTGATCTTTTTTAAATTCTGATTTTTGGAAATTCTTATTATAAAATCATGGTCTTTTTCAGTTCTGATTTTTTAGATTCTGATTTTATAATACTTAATCATTCTGATTTTTATTTCGAAAAATTTAAGCTACAAATTATTTTCAAAAAACACTTAAAAATCGGTCTTGCTTTGTCATACTATTTTTTTATATTTTTGGCCAAAAAAATTTTTTTCATTTGGCCAAGAATGTCCAAAAAAAATTTTTTTCTTTGTCAGTAATTTTATTTTTTCCGTAATTTTCTGCCTTAATTTGCCCTTTTAAAAAATAAAAGGGAAAAAATAAAAAAAGACGGCACAAAATATAGAGACAAATTTGCTTTGTGTGTGTAATTTCTAATGAGAAAAAAAAATAAAAGTTTTATTACGGAAACAGATGTGTGTGTTTGTGTGTGTGAGACTGCGCGTGTTGTCAACAAGTCTGGCAGCATTGATTTTTATTTAAATTGAAACAGAAAAATTAAGTTAGAATTTTCAGTTTGGAATTAGGTTTTTAAAAAAATTAGAATTTTTGATAAATCAGAATTTTGAAACCAAAAGTTGTAATAATCAGAATTTTTGTAGAATAAGAATTTTTAAAATCAGAATTTTTTGGGATCAGAATTTCTATAATTTTTAAAATCAGAATTTCATAAAATCAGAATTTCTGAAAAATCAGAATTTTCAAGAATCAGAATTTTTAATAAATAAGAATTTTTAATAACATATCAGAACATTCTCTACCATTTCTTTTTTTAATTCTTTTTGAGCTTTAATCCTTTACAACTTTTTTTTTAAATATTCTGATCGTTGAAAATATTTTTTCCTTTTTTCTTTTAAATTGTTCCTCATTTTCGTTCAATTAATTTATATATTTTTTTAAATAATCAAAACAAATTAATTTTCTTTTTTTTCTGCTGCGCATTCCTTTTCTAGACTAATCTCTCCCTCCCTTCCTTTAAATAATAAAAAATGTTTTCGCTAAAAATTAAAAAAAAGGAATTTTCCAATTGAGTGAGAAAACACGATGTTTTGAGTTAAAAAAAATTTTTAAAGGGGATTACATAAAATATTTTGTTTTTATTTTTTTTGTATTTTTTTAAAAAATTTTTGGACTAGCATTAATTATTTTTATCATTTTTTAAACTAAAAATTTTAGAAAAATTATAACATTTTTTAAATCAGAATTTTAAAAAATTTTAATAAACGAAAATTGAAAGGCGATAGTCCAAAAAAGTCTAAATTTTTTGGCGGAATATGAACTCTAGTTACTATATGCAACTATGCCATTTTTGGTGCAAAAATGGCATAGTTGCACCCCGCCCCTGAAACAATTCGAAAACTCCGTACCCCGACACAACCGTCTTTTAAATTTTCTAGATATTTCTTGACAAATTAGTACACTATACTTTATTTAATCTTAAATATTTATATTTTAATTAAAATAAAATTTTTTTTAATTTCCATCTTTTGGAGGGTTTCTAATAGTAGTAGAGATTATATAGGTATTGTATTAGTGCATTTTAAATTCTCTCTTTCATTGCGTGCACGCGCAGAGATTGTTTGGGAGGGATTAAATAAATAATATTTTTTGTTAAAAATTTTTATTTTTGTGCAAAAATGGCATCGTGAATAGTACAAAATAACGAGAAAATAATATTTTTAATATAGAAAATGAAGGGATAAAATGAAGGGGGTTGGGGATATTTTTTTTTATTTTAGTAATAAGTAATTGTAATTTATATAGTGATATGTTGCCACAGCTATATATAGTACAGACCGGGTCTAGGCGATATATCGGTCAAAAATCTCGATCATTGAGATCTCGATTTTTGTTCGACCCTCCCAGTCCGATCTCTACTAGTTAGTTTTTTTGTTGTCTTAAATTTTTTAACGACTAATAATTTTGGAAAATACATGTCTATAATGCTACGTTCACATAAAAAATTTCCTAGCGATTCGCGCGACAATTGCTAGGCGACATGTCTTCGGCAGAAATCGCAGCATTTTATGTCTTATATTTTTTCTCTCCTCTTTTTGCATTATCTTTTTTCTGTCGCAAATCGCATGCGATTTTTATGTGAACTTAGATATGGAGAGCAATGATTTACTCTACTACTATTTTATTAATTTTTATTTTTATTCATACTTCCTGTACTTGATGTATTTTTAATTTTTTTTTATTTTTCTTGTTTCTTGCGCGATTAGCGAGAGAAGGAGAGAGAGACGCTTAAATCTCTAAATTTAGTAAAATATGTATAGCAATAAAACAAAACGGGATATATTTTATATACATATTTGTATGCCTGTTTTTACAAAAAATATTATAATATTTTTAATACATTAAATCTTTTCTTTTTTTACTATTTTTTTATCCTTAATTTGGATTATTAAAAAAATTATTTTAAAAGCCACATATCCTGTCTATAAGGGGGAGGAGGGAGGGGAGGATTTTAAAAAAGGAGGGATGATGAGAGAAGAGGTTAAGGAAGCAATTTCTTAAATTAGAAAAAAATAAATAATAATCATTTTTCTAGGCTAAAATTTATTTTTAAATTTTTTTTTTTAAATTTTATTTTTTAAATTTTATTTTTTAAATTTTATTTTTTAAATTTTATTTTTTAAATTTTATTTTTTAAATTTTATTTTTTAAATTTTATTTTTTAAATTTTATTTTTTAATAAATTTTTTTTTAAATTTTATTTTTAATAAATTTTTTTTAATTTTATTTTTAAAATTTATTTTTAATAAATTTTTTTGATTTTCCCGCCTTGGTTGAGTTATTAAATAAAAAAATTTTTTTTGTTAAAAAAATTATTCATAAATATACTAAATATATATATTTTTATGATATTACTAAAAAAGCAATATTTTTATATTTGTAACAACAATAATAATAAAATTTTTTTTATTACCTTTTATGAGACATGCTTAGTTGAAATTATTACAAGGGGGGGGGGAGGGGGGAGAACACCTTATAATTTTTTTGCTTTTTATTTATTAATAAAAAATAAATTCTCGCGAGATTTTTACTGATAAAAAGTACATACACTTTTTTCCTCTTTATTTTGTTTATTTTAATTTTTTTTTCTGATAATCTTTTAATAGAATTTGTCTAATTGTCAGATTTTTTCTAGCTATATTTTTCTCTTATTAATTTTAGAAAATTCTGTTTAATATATTTATATTTCAGAATTTATTTTTTTATTTTTAGAATTTTCTCAGATTTTAGAATTACACATTTTTTCAGAATTTTGGTTTAATTCTGAAATTTTTTAAGTTTAGAATTTCTGTTTTATATTTACTCCATTAATTTTTCAGAATTTTCTTCCTCAGAATTTTCCCTACCAGAATTTCTTTTGCAGTTATTTCAGAATTTCCTTCATCAATTTATTTCAGAATTTTCACCCAGAATTTTTATTATTTCAGAATTTCTTTTTAATTATATTTCAGAATCTCTTTTAGAATTTCTTTCGTAATTATTTCAGAATTATTTATTTCAGAATTTCTTTTTTTAATCATTTCAGAATTTCTTTTAGAATTTCTTTCGTAATTATTTCAGAATTATTTATTTCAGAATTTCTTTTTTAATTATTTTATCTTTATTTCTTTTATTTTACCGCCGCCAGAACGTCTTTTTTTTTCTCTTGTCGTCTTTTTTCATGGTTCACTAAAAAGCAACAAAGATTAAACAAACTAATAAAATACACTAAAAAATGATTTTATACGAGAGAATAATGTTTAGTTAGAGGTAAAATGTTTGGAGTGTGTGTATGTTTAAGCGTTTTGTGTTCTTTTTCTTCTTAACGTTTTTAGCAATGAAAAAAGGAAAAAAATTTTTTTTTGGGAGGGCCAAAAATTATTTTTTAAAGAAAAGAGAGAAAAAAGAGGAGAGAGAGAGGGTAAAATGATGTTATGGGGCAAAAATGTGGTTTCATACGCGAAAAAAAATTTTTTACGTACGTGTGTGTGTGTTTGAAAAAAATGTGTGTTTTGAACCCTTTTCAGTCTCCTCTCCTCTTATATATATTTTCAGTCTTATTCTTATATTACTTACACATTTTGCATTTTAAATATAAAAATTTTTTGGCCATACCTTAACAAAAAAAGTAAAATAATAATTATTTTATAACATTAAAGTAAAGTAATTATTTTGGATAATTTTTTATTAAATTATTATTAATTGTTAAATAAGCCTGTAGGGGAAGGTTAGAATGTGTATGCAAAATGTATTTGTCTTGAAAATTTTTTTTCCTTAAAAATTTTGTAAAGTAATTTTTAAAAAAAGATGTTACAAAAAAATTTTTTCTCTTTATATTTTTTTTTCTATTTTTCTATTTTTTTTTTATTTAATTTTTTTTCACCCTAAATATTAAAAATGATTTAAAAAATTTAATATAAAATAATTTTCTACAAAAAAATTATTTTTTATTAATAATTTCTGTGTTAAGTATCGTTGGCCTTTTTTTCTTCTTAAAAAAATTTCTTTTTTTCTACACGTTTTTAATTTTAATTTTTTTTTGTCTCTCCAAAAAAATTAAAAAAAGGAAGGTTTATTTCTTATTAATCTTTTTAATTTTAAAATGTTTTAAAAAAATTTTTTAATGTAAAAAAAATTAATTTTAATACATATTTTATTTTCTTTCTTTACTCTTTTTTGATTTTTAATCTTCTTTAGGGGTGAAATTAATTATTTTTGGAAAATTTGTAATTAAAATTCTTTTTTTTTCAATTTATTTAAAATATGTCTTTGAAAGATGACTTGAAAATTTTTTCTTCAAAAATCTTCCTTTTTGAAGAAAAAAAAGAAGAAGATTAAAAATCAAATAAATTAGGTATTTCTTCCTCTCACCTTCTTGGGTAAGGAGAAAAACCCCCTTTTTTATGCATTTGGTTCAGTTGGTTCTCCAACTTGGAGAGACACCTCACTTGTAAAAAAATTTTTTAAATTTTTCTTAACCCTGTGAAGGGGGTATTTTATGGCTAGAGCTTAAAAAAAATCTCGAGCAAAAATCCCGGCTTTTGAGAACCGAGAAAAACTTTTTTGAGATAAGGTGTGTGCTCAATTTTCTTGTGTGTGTGACACACTCTTCTAAGTCCTGGTTCTTCATATTGGTCTCTCTAATATTTAATTATTTTTTTTAAATTAATTTTTGCAAAAAAAAATGTACTTTTTTGTACGCAAAAAATTTTTGTGTTTTAATCTTTCCTTTTTTTATATTAATCAAAAAAAATGTCGTCTTTTCTCTATATAAATACACATATGTTTATTCATTCGAAACACAGAAAAATTTTTTTTTCAATAAAATATGAAAGTACATGTAACCTTTTTATTTAAGAAAAAATTTTTTTTATTTTTCTTAAATTTTCTTGTTTCTCTCCAAGAAGTTTAACACAATATACTAATATTTATAAAAAGTTTAAAGCCACCCTCCCCCCCTCCCCCCCCCCCTCCCCCCAATTTCTAAAGTCTAAAGCTACCCCCTTGAAGTTGTTTTTTTTAGTGTGGGGGGTTTCACAGATTTTAAGACATTTTGTGTGATGTCCGAAAATGTTCGGACACGTCCTACAGCGTCTTTTTTCCTTTTAAATTAAGAAAAAATTTTTTAGAATTTTTTGAATACGATTCCTGTTCCTAATTAAAAATATTTTATTTATTTTTTATATTCAAAAAAAATTTTTTTTTAATTTTTCTAATGAAGAAAAAGGGAGGGGGAGAGGGAGCCAATTTTTTTAAAATAAAAATAATATAATACTTCCGTTCTTTATTTTTTTTTAAATTTTTTCCTCAAAATCTCTTTCCTCGTGTTGTTGCCTTAATAAAATAAATAAAAAATAAAAATAAACAGAAAAATAAATAAAAATAATAAATGGAAGAAGAATTAATAGAATTAATTTTTATTCATTTATTCTTCCTCCCTCATCCCGCATTTTATTTTTGAGTCATCTTCCTTCCTTCCCTCGTTTCAATTTTATATTTTTAAAAAATATCTCTTTCAGAAATATCATATTTTCATTATTTTTGTCTATTAATATTTTTAAACATTTTTATTTTTTTAAATTAATAATAAGCCAGATTTTTTTTTTTTGAAACAATTTTCATATATTTTTATATGTACTATTATATTTTTATAACAATTTTTATACATATTAGATCTGCCCGAGACTCTTGGTCTCGAGTCTTGACTCAAGACTTTTCTTGGGATCTTGAGTCTGATCTTGGGGTCTTGATATATTTTATGTTGAAGTGGGATAATGTTACGACCCGAGGTGTGTCCGAGATTTAACTAATGTCGACGAGCACAACAATAACAGTTTATTCGGTGTAGAAATTAACAATGTGTAGGCGAACGGACTGGGACAGACGAGGGAGATCAGTACACTGGCCCCACTAGTATGATCCAACTAGACTGACGTTTGTTTTCACTGGCTTTCATACTAAGCACTTTAAGGGCTGTCACCTATACACAACAGATAAGATCGAGATTATTGAATATGTTTGAGTTTCAGACTCTACGGGTTATTATTGTCTCACTCTCTTAGGGTGTAGGTCAGTCGTAGTGCTATTAGAGTCTGAAATTAATTTTTTTATTTCAGACACTAATGGTTATACATGTGATAATTTGATAATCTCTAAACACCTATTCCCCCCTTTTTCACATTTTAATCATTTTTATCATCAAAAAAAATTTTTTTTTGGCAATAAAAATAGAAAACGCGTCAATCTCTTTCTCTTATTAATTAATTAAAACCCCCTCCCCTCCTCGTTTCTCTTTTAACAAAAAAAAATTAAAAAAAATATTGCGAAAAATAAAGAGATGTATAAATAAATAAAATAATAAATTGCCGTCTGTGATAAATTGCTGATAAAAAAATTTTTTTTTTTATTTTTTTAATTTTGAAAGAAGGAACATTATTATTAGTAAGCAAACAACATTTATTTGGTGTTATTTTTAAAGTGTTTCAAAATAATTTAAAAATATACATTATTAACGTGTGCGTTTTTGGGGTGTGTTTAGGCGCAAAGGGGAATTTTGGCGTGAACTTGTATAAGGCTTGAATGGGCTTGTCTGTTTTTTGAAATTTTGGGGTTATTAAATAGAAGGGGAAATTGGCCTTTTAAATGGAGAGAACCTTGAATTTTTAGAATGGACCTTTGAGTCTGCTGTGAATTTTTTGTTTCAACTTTTGATTTATCTTTGTTTGGGAGGGTTTTGGGGGTGTGTTTGGGCGCAAAGGGGAATTTTGGCGTGAATTTGAATAACTCTTGAAGGGCAAGTCTGTTTTTTGAAATTTTGGGGTTATTAAATAGAAGGGGAAATTGGTCTTTAAAAGGGGAATAGTTTTTAGGGGGCTTAGATCATTTTTATTAATTCTACTCCCTATATTCTCTTCTATTTATTAAAAAAAATTTTTGAGTCAATTATTAGCGTCCTCATTCTATTTTTTAAGATCAACGCACCCATCTTTGTTCATTTTTGTGTATATTTAAAAAAAAAATTTTTTTTTAAATTCATCTCCAAAATTCATCTCCAGTTTATTTTTGTATTTTTTTTCATAAAAACCCTCTCTAATACAATTTCACTCGCCAAATGGTTTTTCATTTTTTACAGCCCCCTCTACTTTCTCTCATTCGCTTAGAAAATGAGGGGAGGGGGAGGGTGTATTTCATTTTTTACCTTTTCATAAACCTTTTCATAAACCTCAATATATGAATGTTTGTCAATGATATTTACCTCTCCCTTCCAATAAACAAACAAAAAACCGTTTTGTTTTAAAATGAAAAGCACTTGCCAATTAATATGTATAGGTAGAAAGTATTTCGCAACATACAAAATCGTTTAAACTAAAAAAAGAAAATGAAAAAATTTTACTTAATATTTATTTTTTTTTATTTTTGATAGACTCTAATAGGTGGTGGGGGAGGAAATAGGGGACTTGGGCAAAAAAATAATAGGGAAAATAAGGAAAAATAGGGACTGGTAGGGAACACTGAAAACTGTAGGGACTGGCACACAACTCTCGCCCTTCTTCCCTTAACCCGAGAAGAGGGGGGAGGGTTGGCATTTTTCTTTGAAAAAAATTTCAAAAAGATCAGAGAGCTTTACCCATTTCTCTATTTAGGTAATTCTCAAAATTCAAAAAAAAAATTCTTTCCTTATTTTAACACAAGAGGGAGGGGATGATAGAGGGAGGAGGGGGATGGTGTGCCAATTATACACTATATCTCTAAATAGAGTAGATGAAATTCATAAAGTTAAAAAAATTTCATTTTTAGAGTCTAACAGAAATATATAATTTTTTAAATTTATTTTACAATCTTTTTTCCTTAATTGTACTCAATATGTACTTTTTTTTTAAATATTTTTTTTGTCTAGACTTCATTTATATATTTGATTAATTTGTATACACAACTAAACATACACTCACTTGCCTTTCCCCCTTTTTACCTTTTCTTTTTTACTCTTCGCGCATTTTTAAGAGTGTATAATGTCTCCATATGTTTATTTATATTATATGTCCCACGAGACATTTAGCAACAATAATAAATTTTTTATTTTTGTTTACTAAAAATTGGCATTCTGCCCAAATTTTTAAACCCCTCACTAGTAATAGTCGGGAGTTTAAAGTAGTTTAGAGTGGAGGCAAAGACCGGGAATCAACCTTAAGACTGTGAGCAGGACCAAGAATCTCGACCATCACTAACCCCTACTACCCTCACTTCTGAAACTTTAACAAAATGAAATTAAAAAAAAAATTTTTTTTAATGCGGGAGAGGCTTTAAAGAAAACACAATAGTTTTTTGAGTTATAGTTATTTTTTTGGAGGAAGTTAAGGGTCTTTAGAGTCTTGGATTTTGTTTGTATTTTAGATTAATTAATTATAAAATAATTTTTTAAACGCGTTTTTTTTTCAAAAATTTTATTTTGAAAATTAAAAAAAAAATTTTTTTTTATTTCAAAAATTCTTTTATTATTCAAAAATTTTATTTCCTGATTTTTTTTAATTTTAAATATTTTTTTAAATGTTGCCTATCACACCGACACACATTTATTAACAGTGTTTGTTCAATAAGTTTAAAAAAAAGTTTATAGAAAAATTTGTTTCCCTTTTTCAAATATACTGTAAAGAGTTGACAAAAATTGTAGCCTAAACAAATTTCGTGAAAGAAAAAAAAATTTTTTTTTTGAAAAAAAGGGAAAAAATAGAGAGGGGAGAGGGGGGAGACAGAAGAAAAGGATTTTACCGTTAATAAACCGTTTCAAACTTTTTTTAAAAATTTAACTGTGTATCTGGCAACATAATGAAAAGAGGGGGTAATGTGTAATTAATTATTTAAGAGTTGAACAAATAAAAATTATATAGGGGCAAGTTTCTCATATTTAAAGTTTAAATAAAATGTTCTGGTTTAATTTCTAAAAAATTTTATACTTATAAATTCTGATTTTTATTAAGTTGTGTTTCATTCAAGTTTTAAATATTTCTAGGTTGTTATTAATTCTGATTTATTAATTAGATATTCTGATCTTTAATAATTCTGATTTTTATGAATTCTGGCAAAGTGCTTATCAAAGTGCTTATCTGATTTTTAATAATTCTGATTTTATTAATTCTGATTTTTAAATAGTAGTTCTGATTTTAATTCTGATTTATTAATTAAATATTCTGACTTTTAAATAATTCTGATTTTTATAACAATTCTGATTTTTGATTATTCTGATTTTATTAATTCTGATTTTTAAATAGTAGTTCTGATTTTAATTCTGATTTATTAATTAAATATTCTGACTTTTAAATAATTCTGATTTTTATAACAATTCTGATTTTTGATTATTCTGATTTTCTTATACACATTTTTAAATAATTATTCTGATTAAATCAGAATAGGTATATATTTCTTAATCTATAATTCTGTTTTTTTTTCTATCAAGTCTGATTTTACAAATTTCTGATTTATCTTTTATTTATTAAAATTCTGATTTTTAATAGAAATTCTGAAATTCTTTTTTTTTTACTCAAGTATACATATGTATGAGTGATGTTTTATTTTTTACGGGAGTTTTTGTCTTCTTTGAAAATTTTCTTTAATAATTTAAAAAAATATTTTTTACTTAAAATATTATTTATTCTCATTATTTTTGTAAAAAATTTTTTTAAAAACAAATTGTCTATTTATTATTATTTTAAAAATAATATTTGCACATCCCCCATCAGACAAAATAATAATAATCAACAGATATATATTTTTTATTTTTTTAAAAACAAAAACAAATCGAGAGTACTTAACGCCCCCACCTATGGAATTTTTATTTTTTTTGGCTGGTCTGTCGCCCATTTTTGTTGTTTTGTTTTTTTTTGGACACACAAAAAATATCCTCTTTTCACTTAAAAAATTTTTTTCCTGTTGTTATTGATACAAATCCCGGTAGCTATTTTAAAATAAATGAGAGGAAGGGAAGGAGGAGGATGGTCCGATTGCACAAACTGAAAAGAGAGGGAGAGATTTGTCAAGATTATTAAATGAGTGAGGACAGGGATAAGGTATAGGTGTGTGTGTGTCTGTAAGTGTCTGTGTATAAGTGTATATTTATTTTTGTGTTGATTTGCCAAAAATTATGGGTATATTTTTACAGCTGGACTAACACTTCGAATAAGCGAATAATGAGATAAAATAGCCAATAGATTGGGGTGTATTTATTTTTTAATTTTTATTAAAGTACCTATTATTAATATAATTTATTTAGTATATCCCCTAAACCTTTAAGTCTTCTACCTTCTTTTTTCTTTTGATCTTTAAATTTTTTTTTAATTTTAATTAAGATATTTTTATATATATTTTCTTTATTTGTAATTAAATTAACAACAAAAATATACAAAGTTTACATAAATTTAAGAAAAATGGTTTTACCAACACCTACTGCAAATGTCGAACCACAGCAACAAAAAGTTGGAGGGAATTGTGTGTTTTTATCTCTTTTTATTTGAAAAATAATTTTGAAGGAGGGGATGGGGTGTTAAAGCTTTAATTAGAGTTGTTAACGGACGATCCTGGGCCCGGGAGTCGAAGCCCTTGAGTCGAAAACTCGCTGAAAAAGCTCAAGGGTACCCGTTAAAAATAGGTCGCCAACAACCCCAATTTTAAGCTTTAATTTAAAATTAAAAAATAATTTTTAATTTAAAAAACAGATTTTGTCAATCATTCTACTCCACCAAATGTTGATTTAATAAAATGTTTTCTCTGTCAAATGTTATACAAAGAACCAAAAGTTTTGGCATGTTTTCATTCTTTTTGTAAAAATTGTTTGGAACGTCAAATAAAAATTAAACAAGAAATATCAACACTAAACAAACCACAATCAATTATTTGTCAAATTTGTTGTCAAGAAACTCAATTAAATCCACAATTAGGCATTGAAGGTTTACTTTCTGATTATGGACTAGAAAATGCTGTACAGTCTTTGGGGACGTCTACGCCGTTTAGTGAGGTAGAAAAAAATTTAAAAAATTTTTTTGATGTCTAGAAATAATACAGAAACCTTTATTTTGCTTTTTATTAATAATAAAAAATATTAACCTCCAAAAGGGTTCGAACCCACGACCCTACTCAGGCCAAGCTTAATACGTTAACCATTCAGCCATGGAATTGGCAAGAATCCCGAGGGCCTATTTTGGTCATAACTTTTTGTATTCTTTTCCGATTTGATTAATTTTCATATCAATCGAAAGCTCTGAATTTGATGAGTATTTTGACTTACGGGATCAACGTGATAAGATTTTCATTTAAAAAGTTATAGCCGTTTAAGTGCGTGAAATCATGATTTTCTGTCTTTATCTAACTATAACTTTGTAGGGAACGATTCTAGAATATCTATCCGACAAGAAGAAATATTCCCCATGTTTAGAGCTATCGTTTGATATAAAATTTATCCCAATTAGTTTAAGAATAAAAAAGTTATGAGTCAAAAATGACTCCATGCCATGCTTTTTTGATCATGTTTTCCTTCTTTAAATTTCTTTATTCTTCATAGCAAAGCGAAGACCTCGGTTTTGGCAGTTTAAAATCCTCAGATGGATGGCCTGCACAACAAGTTCCAGATTATTTGCCTTCTTCTAATAATAATTCTTGTCAGCAACAATCAAATAATTTAAATAAAGTTCCTTCAAATGTGTGTATGTGTTTGGAGGTGGGGCTTCTATTAGAATTAATTGAAAAAATTTTTTTATTAATTTTTCCAGCATCGCCAACAACCTTTAGTCTTTTTTTGTCAATATTGTCAACATGCAATATGCCGTGAATGTGTTAGAAAACATAAAGATTGTAAAATTGATCGTATTGATAATGTTTCTAATAAACAAATTAAAATGATGGAGGTAAAAAAATTTTTTAATGATGTTTTTAATGAAATATCAATACAGAAACTTTATTTTAATTTTAAATAATAAATAAAAAATGTTGACCGTCAAAAGGGTTCGAACCCGGGACCCCACCCAGGCCAAGCCTAACACGTTAACCACTGAACCATTGAATTAACAAGCATCGTAAGGGCCTATTTTTGGTCATAACTTTGCCAGTTCTTATTCGATTTGAATAATTATTATACCGTTTGAAAGCTCTGGATCTGTAGATTATTTTATCTAACACGATTGATTTGATCAGATCATCCAACAAAAAGTTATAGACGAATAACTCCGTGCAATCGTGATTTTTGATATTTATTGATCTATAACTTTTTATACAATGATCTGATCAAAACAGCGTTGCTAGCAAAAATAATCCTCACATTAAGAGCTTTCGATTGATATAAGATTTATTTATAATGATTGAGGATTTAGGAAGATATAGTGATATGATTTATTAAAACACGATTGCACGCAGTTATTCGTCTCTCTTGCCTCCTATAAATTATTTTTATTCTAATTAATTTTTTTATTTTTTAAAGCATTTATTAAACGAAGCACAAATAAAACAGAATGGATTGAACGAAATGTTTCAATTAATTAATTTACGCCAAAACAATTTAAATGCAAGTTTTCAACAAGCAAAGCAAACTATCGACGATACTTTTTATTTTTTAATAAAAACGTTACATGAAGCACAAAAAAGTTTATATAAAGAATTGGAAGGAGCTTATAGCTATAATAATAATAATTTAAATTTAAATAAATTGGGAGGAGGAGGAGGAGAATATCGTTTAGGAGTACCAGATTTACAACAAGCTAAACAAGCTATAATTACACCATTTAATCAATTGAGGGCTGGAGGGGCTTGGATTAATAATCAACAAAATAATCAAAATAATCGTTTTGTAAATCCATCGTTATCTTTGGGAACAACAAAAATTAATTGTAACAGTAGTAGTAATAGAAATAATATATTAGCTACATCAGCACCTACTAATAGTAATAATGGATGGGGTGGAAATAAGGTGTGTTTGATTTATTTATTTTTAATTAAACTTTGTTTTTACAAATTGTAAAATATGTTTGTTTTAAAACAAGTTTATTTAAAAACAAGTTTATTTAATAAACTTGTTTTACAAATTGTATTTTAAACAAACAAGTTTATTTGTTTTTTAAACAAGTTACAAACAAACTTGTTCTACAACAAGTTTATTTAAAAACTAGTTTATATTTAAATTTTCAACGAACAAGTTTATTGTAAAAACATGTTTTTAAAACTTGTTCGTTTAAAAATAAGTTTATTTTTATAAAAACAAGTTTGTATTGTAAATCGTTTATTTTACAATTGTATTGTAAAACAAGTTTTTGTCTAAATTCATGTTTAAATTCAAGTTTTATATTTTCAAATTTCAGCCTCTAGTTTCACTCGACTGTAGATGCGATAGGAGAACACAAGACAAATGCGAATGTTAGAGTACCACTATACAACATGCTTACAAAAAGGAGAATATTAACCACAACTTTTTCTTAACAACAAAATTTAAACGAAACAAAAACAACAAACAAATAAATTCATATTAAGTAAAAAAAAATATTTTTTTTCAAATTTATTTTCCATAATCAACAACCTTTATATATTTTTATATAATTAATTTATAAAAGGCTTTTGTCAAATCGTTATATTAATTTTTTTCTATTTTTTTCTCGATTGGATTTATTCAAAAAAAATTGACAAGAGCCTTTTTAACCGTATATTTTTTTAAATTTTTAAAACACAGTCAGACCTTAACCTATTAAGTACCCTATATTACTATAAGATCTCCCCTCTTTTCTGAAAGACCAATATAGACCTCATTATTAAGGGACATTAAGTTTCCAAAAATTGTACTTTAATAGAGAGGTCTGACTGTGTATAATATTTAAATTAACCAAACACCACTTCCAATCCTCTAAAATATATACAAAAAAGAGAGGAAACTGCTCTGCTCAAGCAATTTCTTTTATTATTATTTTATTAAAATATTATATCCATTCTATCTATATTTAATCATTTAAGCTTTTTATCTTTCAAAATTACCCCTATTTCTTTTTCTATTTTTTATACCAACATTTCACCAGTGCTTGGAAATTTCAATTTTGCTCGTACTTCGTACCAGAGATCGGAATTTTTGAAAAGCCTGGACCTGTTCCTAGACTCTGGAGTTTGATTTATTGACTTGGGCCGGATCTTGAATATATACAAAAATCCTCTAAAATATATACAAAAAAATATATCCTCTAAAATATATACCTGTAGTCCAAGAAAAACCCAAGCCCGGGAAAACCCCGGGAAGGTCAAAAAATGCTTGTGCCTGGACTCTAGGAACAGGAAAAACCCAGGCCTTGGTCCAGGCCCAGGCCGATCTCTACTTCGTAACACCCTTATTTTTGGCCTAGTACTTCGTACCGAGACGATTTCCAAGCACTGCTTTTCACTCTATCTTATTTTGTATTGTCTTTTTTATTGGTGATCTTTTGGGGGTATCTTTAGAGAAGATTTTGTAATTTTTTGAAATTTTTAAAGGGAAGATCACTAATTTAACAGTCAGGTAATTTTTTAGATCGTTTGAATAAAATAAAAAAATTAAAAAAAAACAAATTTTATCAAGCATTATTTTAACCTAATTTTACAACGTTTATAACAATTATTTTTTAAAAGAATAAAAAAATTAATTTTAATTGTTTGTGGTATTTAATTAATTAAAAATTAAAAACAAAAAATTCGGGTAATAGAGCTTTTAAATTTTTTGGATGCGATTTCAAAAAATCGATAAAAAATCAATAAATCGATATCAATCGATAAAATCGATAATTTATTTTTTAAAAATTTTAATTTTCCAAAAAATCGATAAAAAATCAATAAATCGATATCAATCGATAAAATCGATAATTTATTTTTTAAAAATTTTAATTTTCCAAAAAATCGATAAAAAATCAATAAATCGATATCAATCGATAAAATCGATAATTTATTTTTTAAAAATTTTAATTTTCCAAAAAATCGATAAAAAATCAATAAATCGATATCAATCGATAAAATCGATAATTTATTTTTTAAAAATTTTAATTTTCCAAAAAATCGATAAAAAATCAATAAATCGATATCAATCGATAAAATCGATAATTTATTTTTTAAAAATTTTAATTTTCCAAAAAATCGATAAAAAATCAATAAATCGATATCAATCGATAAAATCGATAATTTATTTTTTAAAAATTTTAATTTTCCAAAAAATCGATAAAAAATCAATAAATCGATATCAATCGATAAAATCGATAATTTATTTTTTAAAAATTTTAATTTTCCAAAAAATCGATAAAAAATCAATAAATCGATATCAATCGATAAAATCGATAATTTATTTTTTAAAAATTTTAATTTTCCAAAAAATCGATAAAAAATCAATAAATCGATATCAATCGATAAAATCGATAATTTAGAAATATAATTCCCAAAAATAATTTAAAGCTCCATTAAAATACTTTTAAAATACAATTTTTAGAAAACAAAAAATTTTCTAATTAAATTTTTATACAAATCACGAAATAATTAAAATCGCGATATTTAATTAATTATAAGGTTGATTTTTAGCTAACTAAAAAATCAACAACAAAAAATATATTTATATATATTTTACAACAATAAACAAAAACAAATAAAACCAAAAAAAAATTTTTTTGGGAGAGGGAGGGAGAGGTTGATTTTTTGTAAATTTTTAAATTTTTTTTTCCGATTATTTTGGTTGGAATTTTAGTAAGACTAACCACCAAGATGGATGGCCACAAGAAAAAAATTGAATCTTGCGTTAAAAATAATTAAAATTCACTCCCCCTCTCTCTTTCCAACTTTTTAAAAAAACTTAACTTTTCATTAAAAAAAAGAAAAAAGATTTTTAAGTAAAAAAGATTAACAGTCTAAAGACAACTATAAAACAATTTCTCAAGTCTCAAAAACAAAAACATGCTTTGTTTCAGAAAGGTTAGGAGAGAGCTTTAAAAAAACATTTTTTCTAAAACAAAAAAAATAATTAACGGATTGGATAATTTTTCTTGAATTTTCTCAAGTTTTTCTTCTAGTTTAAAAATCGGTCTTTATACATATTTCTCAAAATTAAGAGATGCCAGTTAAACTATCCCTAAGTATTTCTTTAATGTATTAAGTACGAATTTTAGCTTGGAAGCATTTTGGTTAGTACATTTAAATTTAGTCAGCTATACTTAAACAAAAAAAGAGCAGGAGAGAAAGCAGGAGCCCAAAGAAAAAGAGCAAGGGCCCAAAGAAAGGTACCCAGTGGTGTTCGAGTTTCGCCTTTCATTTTTCGTTTTTTTGTGAAATTTCGTCTTTCGCCTTTTTAAAATCACTTTCGGAAGAACATATATTAAAAGTTCCAAAAATTATCCAATCCAAAAATAACAAAAACAAAACAAAAACTATTTAGGAATACTTAAAACAGCTAAATATTAAATATATATAATTAGTAGTTAAATATAATTTTTTACATAATAGAGAGGACTTAAAAACGAATTTTTTGCTTCGAAAAAAATTTTAAATTTAAATTTTCCTTAAAATATCGTTGACTAAAACAAAGAAAAAACAAAAAAATAATATTTAAAAAAACATACATATTTCTTTAATTAATTTGCCAAAAAACAAAATGAGAAGAAGAAAAACACAGCAAATATTGCTGAATTATTTTTGGAGTTGTTAATACATTTTTTAATTTTTTTAACCAACAAAAAAGCCGCGCTGCTGTTGCAAAACATTAAAACAAAACAAAAAAGAAACTAGTAGATTTTTTATTAAAATCAAATTTGTTGATATTTGTACATGTAGAGACGATAATCTTTGCTGAAAAAAAGAAATTTTTTTTTGGAAAAAAAAATTTTCTTTGGCAAAATCATAAAATTTGACGGAAAAACTCTTCATCCTCCCACTCTTTTTTAGCCCAAACCCCCTTAATATTCAACCATTTAAGAAAAATTTGGTATCATTCGAAAGCTCTAATCATAAGGATTCTTTTTCCTAACGAGGACATTAAGTTACAATCATTCTGCAGAAAGTTAGAGATGGATAAAGACCAAAAATACCGACTGCGTGCACTTAAATGGCTCTAACTTTATAACAAATGATCGTTTAAAAACGATCTTGCTAGGAAAAAGAATCCTCAAACTCAAAGCTTTCGAATGATATAAAAATTAGCCAAACCGGATAACTTTAACAAATGTTATGGTCAAAAATAGGCCCTCGGGTGTTCCCGTCAATTTCATGGTTGAGTGGTTAACGTGTCTGACTTTGTCAGAAAAGGGGGTGCGGGTTCGAACCCTTTTGAGTGGCAACATTTTTTATATATTGTCCAAAATTAAAATAAATGTTTTTGTATTGGATTTAATAAAAAACGGTCGATATTCAGAAAAATTGTGAACAGGAAAACCCTCTTAAAAGCCCCCCCCCCCGAAAATGGCCTCCCTTCAGAAAGTTTAATAAAAAATCAATAAAAAAATCAACCTAGCCAAAACAACAGAATCTTCAAGAAGAGCAACATCATAACACTGTGCATGTTTAACTTTTGATTCACAAGCACCAATTAAAGTTCCATCCTTTAAAAACAAAAAATATCTGAAAGAAATTTAAACAAACCTGTGAAAATATAGTCAAATTAAAATTGTTGTGATTATCAGCTACAACAATTTCTCCTTTTGAATTTATTCCAACACCAATAGGATAATTTGTAATACCCTCGCCACCAATTTGTCGAACAAATTGTCCTTCATAATTAAATACCTAAAAAATAAAAAAAAATTTTTTTAAATGTAAAGGACCCAACTATCCCAACCAAACTATATAAACAAGGTTTTCTTGAAGTTTTAAATCAAATAACGACTAAATTTTTCCTTGTTATAACATCCAAAAAATCTCTCAAACTTTTACCCACAAAAATATGCCAAAACAGAAAATTTGGTCATTTTGGTGTAGTGGGATAATTTTTGGTTTTAACATAAAAGGGGGTCAAGGTTCGAACCCCTTCAGCGAAAAATAATTATTTTCCTCAAAAATAATTATTTTTACGTTTAAATCAAGTCATAAACCTTTCAAAAATTTTAAAAACAAACTTTAATAGAATGTGCTCGGTTGTCACTAATCAAAATTTCTTCTTTTTCAGTTGTACAAACACCATTAGGAAATTCCAAATAACCTTTAAAAAAATAAAATTATAAAAAAATATTTTTAACAGAAAAACTAACGTGAACAACTAAATTTATGAAGTATATTCCCAAACATGTCAAAAATTAAAACACGCATAACTTTACATTCAACAACGACAATACGTCCTTTGGAGTCTACACAAACACCTCGAGGATGTTGCAAAATTTGTGCTCCAAATTTACGAATAAATTGGCCATATTGATTGCTAAAATGAAGAAAATTTAAAATTTATTTGAGGACAACGACATTTGAGGACAACGACATTTGAGAACATCAAAATTTGCGAATTAAAAAGTTTGTCCGCAAAAATCTGTCAGTCCGCAAATGTTTGTCCGCAAAAAAATTTTAAAAATCAAAAATTAAACAAAAACAAACTATATTTGGATTTGATGAGTAGGTGAACGTTCAGTAACTACAAAATCGCCGGTAACACAATTAACTGAAACACGGTTTGGATAGAGCAATTGGCCGTCTAAAAAATTTGATTTTTAGAAAATTTTTAATTGAAACAAAAAAATAAATACCACGCTTTCCACATTCCCCAAACTGAAATTTGAAACGTCCTTCACGATCAAAGACCTTAAAAAAGTTTAAAAAATTTTTTGAAGTAAACGAAAGTAAGGGGTATGCTTCAGAATCGCGACATTCCGTTCCCAGTCAAATTTTGGGCCATAACTTTTTTCCCTTCTTAACCGGTTTAATCATAAGATTATTATGTAGTAGGAACGATCTGATTAAATCATTCTACAAAAAGTACAAGTCGAATAAGTGCACGTAAACATGATTTTTGAGCCTCATAGGACTGTATCTTTTCTTATGATGATCTGATCAAAATAGCCCCTTCCTAGACAAATACTTCACACATCCGCAGCTTTCAATTAATATAAAAATATTTAAAAATCGGTCAATAATCAAAAAAGATATGACCCAAAATAGGAGCCTGAAACTGAACGGCGATTCTAATAGGAGGATATTCCTAGTATAGATCGGGAACTTTTGAAAGGCCTGGATCTGTTCATGGACTCTGAAGTTAGATTTATTGACCTTGGCCGGATCCTGGGCCTATAGCCAGGAAAAAACCCAGGCCCAGGAAAAACCCCAAGGTCAAAAAATGCCTGGGCCTGGACTCTGGGTACAGGAAAACCCCAGGCCTTGGTTTTTAATTCCTACCCCGTTTCCCAGCTCGTTTAAAAATAAAATTAAAAAAATTTACTTGAATTCGATGATTGTTTGTATCAGCAACAATAATATCCAATTGTGCATTAACAGCAACACCGCTAGGTTCAGTAAATTGTCCTTCCATAACCCCAAATTCTCCAAATTTACAATTATATGTCATCTTCTGTCGTTTAATTTGGGAACGTGGAGGATATAAAATTGGGACAGAAAGGTCCATATCTCCTCCTCCTTTTTGTAAAGAATTTAAATTTCCTCCTCCATCAACTCCAAAAACGCTCAAATCGTTCAAATCTTGAGAAAGTGCCAAAATGTCATTTGGCAACCACTAAAATTTTAAAAAAAATAAGTTTTAAGTCAAATTGGTGCTATCCGATTATATCTCCCGCACTTTCCCGTTCTTTTGCTTACTTCTTTTTCTCCTAAAAAGTACAACATGATCAATGGCAATAACTGGTCAGGTAAATTTATGTCGCTAAACGTACAACAGGATGTGCCAGTTTGGCCTTTTCTAGTGTTTCGCTTTTTAAATAGGTTTCAGCACACCCAACGTTGGCATTGATTTTAAGGGCAGAAGCTGGGGATTCACTGCATAGATCTGATCCGAGTACCATCATTTGCTTTTGATCATTTTTATTTTTTATGAGAATTAACAAAAGAAGTAAGCAGAAGAAAAGGGAAGTTTGAGGAGCTACCTGGATACTACCATAAAATTTAAAAACACAAACCTTATTATCATGTTGTCCCCCAAATCCATTAGTTCCAGTAGGTGCTGATGTAGCCAATATACCCCCTCCTCCACCTCTATTTCCTGTAGGCGTCCCAAACAAATCGGAAGAATCAAAACAATGCCCTCCTCCTCCATTATTTCTAATTTGAATAGAACCTCTATGATGTTGACCTGTTGGTGTTCCAGCTCCTCCCAGAGAAATTGAAGGATTTCCGAATCCATCAGAAAACCCTCTCGGCGATTGATAACGATTGAGAGGTGGGGAATTGATCAAATTTTGGTTATTTTGTTGATTAATCCAAGCCCCTCCAGCCCTCAATTGATTAAAAGGTGTAATTATAGCCTGTTTAGCTTGTTGTAAATCTGGCACTCCTAAACGAATTTCACACGTTTCACTACGTAAGAGCTGATTGGCATCCGCATTGAATGATAAAAAGCCTTGAAGGCGAGAGTCCAAGAGGGGTTTGAAGACAATTACCTTTAAAGAAATTTTTTTAGAATTTCTAAAAAAAAATTATTAAGAAAAACCTCGGTAGGGGAAGCATATTTAATTAAACGTTGTGTAAATTCAATTGTTTGCGACATTGATTTTGTGACTTTTTCCATTTCTTTTTCAAGCATTTTTAATTGTAACTTGAAGAAAAAAAATCAAAAATTAATTAAAGAGTTCATGTCAAGGACCTGGCCATATCTTTTCCTAGATTTTCCCTCAAGGACCCACAACATTCAAAAGCCGCCCGGTTTTCTGTAGAAAGGGCGTAGTCAGGGTATCGATTTCAGAGGGAGAGGCTAAAATATTGGGGAGGGATATAGCTCTAAAATATGAAAGTAAATCTGGGGAGCGCTATAGCTCTCTCAGACCCGTGACTACGCCCGTGCCTTGTAGGGAGTTCAGGGCTTTTAGTTTACTTGGGCAAAACATTAAATTAAAAAAACCTGTTTATATCCATAAATTCCTTCCAATTCTGTATACAATCCTTTTTGTGCTTCATGAACTGTTTGTACAAGAAAAGAGAAAGTATCGTCTATAGTTTGTTTTGCATGTTGAAAAGATGTATTTAAATTGTTTTGGTCTTGATTTATTAATTGAAACATTTCATTCAATCCATTTTGTTTTATACGAGCCTCGTTTAATAAACGCTTAAAAAAATAAAAATATATTTGTTTTTAGGTTTGGGAATCTTAAAAAAGCTCAAAAATTTTTAAAAAGAGCAACGCGATAACATACCGCCATAAGGAATCAAACCTTTCACTTAAGACTTGAAAGTCCGAAACGATACCACTACACTACAAACGTTGTTGTAAGAAATACGAAAATTACTAATTATCTTCAATTAACAAAAAGAAAATAAACTTGTTTTTAGACCAATAAATGCGAACTTAAGTATGAGCTCGGAAAACTAAAGTTAACAAACTTAAGTTTAAAAACTCAGGCAAAAAGTTTGTAAAACTAAAAACTAAAACAAAAAAATAAATTTAATACCTCCATCATTCCAATTTGTTTATCCGCAACATTATCAATTTGTTCAACTTCACATCCTTGGTGTTCTTGAATACATTCACGACAAATTGCTTGTTGACAGAATTGACAAAAGAGAATTAAGGGTTGTTGACGATGCTGAAAATTTTTTTGTTAGAATTATCATATAGTAAAGTAAGAATCAATCCTGCGACACATTGACAGTTCTACGCTTACATGACCGGGAATGGAGCCTCTTGCCCCTTCTCTCTAACCGACTCATGGACTCGAACCATTCACTCAAGCCCCCTCTATCTAACAAAAAAGAGCGAACTAGGTTAACTCAAAAACATTCCAGGTCAACCCGGTGCCTATACGATGATGCCCTTCAGGCTATGCGCAACTTTCCCTATTTGTTAGTGAAAAGGTTGGCGGATCCGGAACCGAAAAAAGCCTGCATCCGAAGATTTTCAACTATCTGCCAACCTTATCAGCGAAATGGGAAAACTCCAAAAAAACCAGGGAACCCCCCATTAAAATTTTTTAAAGAGAAATCCAAACCTCTAAACACATACAAACATTTCCTCCAATCCTTCCATTTTTGTTAAGTTTTGTCAATTGTTGTTGTTGAGGAGAGTCACCCCCTCCTCCACTATCAAAGCTTGGCAACAAAATATCATTTGGAGGATGACTTCCTTCAAAAACTTCCAAAGCAGGCCAACCATTGTTTGATTTTAAACTGCCAAAACCGAGGTCCTCGCTTTGCTTTAAAGGATAAAAATTAGGTAAAACCCCCCAAAAATTATTCAAAAAATCAAACCTCGCTATAAGGAGAAGTCCCCAAAGACTGCACAGCATTTTCTAGTCCATAATCAGAAAGTAAACCTTCAATGCCTAATTGTGGATTTAATTGGGTTTCTTGACAACAAATTTGACAAATAATTGATTGTGGTTTGTTTGGTGTTGATATTTCTTGTTTAATTTTTATTTGACGTTCCAAACAATTTTTACAAAAAGAATGAAAACATGCCAAAACTTTTGGTTCTTTATATAACATTTGACAGAGGGAACATTTAACCATCTATTAAAAATTTAAAAAATATTTAAAAAAATATGGAAAAAAATCTAAAAAAATTTAAAAATATTTTAGAATCAGTTTTCTATTTACTAAAGAATAAAAAAGTCTAAAAGAAGACTAAATAAAAAAGAATCCACTGAAGGGACTCGAACCCAGCCCCTAAGCTAGGGGAATGCGAGAACGCTAACCACTCTGCCACTGTTGATGTTATTAGTTTATTCTAAATTTAGCCTTATCTTCAAAACTAAAAAATGCTTTAATTAACATTTTTCTTCTTGGAGCTTCCCACTCAATAAAAAAACCCCCCAATTTACATTCAAAAACTAAAAATAAAGTAAAATACCCGCTGAACCATAGAAGCAGGATTTCCTGACAAAAAGTTGTGTTGATGTTCCATAAGTTGGTGCTGGTCATTTGGATGAGGTATAAGCGAACGATCGACTGCGGTAATGTCAAAATCTAAGCCTGAAAAGAAGGGAAAATTAGGAGAAATTTAAAAAAGGAAGCTTCAAAGCTTAAAAATGACCTCAAAAATAGCCTAAGAATCCAAAAAAAACCTCTAATATGTCCACCCCCACCACCACGAATTTCAATTCCCCCAACAGGCGATTGGCGTACTATAGAAGCTAGCATTGACGACAACGGGTCAGTTTCAACAGAAGAGGAAGTGCCTAGAGAATTTTCACCAGAATCGGTGATTTCCTCTGGAAAAGGATTTTAAATTAAAATTTTAAAAAAATTATACCAAAATTCCAGAGCATTTCTTCTTTTTACAAATAGTCTAAAACAAGAAGTAAATTCGTCTAGTTAATTTAATTTAAAATTATTTTTTTCTTTGGCTCTGAAAAAAAAATTAAAAAAAATTATAAAAAAATTAAAAAATTAATTTAAATAACGACTTATGGGGAAAAAAATTTTTTTCCTCAAAAAATTTTTTTTTAATTTTCCCAGCTAAACACGCGCCACGTGAATTCCCTTAAACATATGAGGAAATTATTTAAATTATTAAATATTTAAATATATTTTTTTTAATTTTATTTAATCCATATTGGAGGGATAAATTTAGAAAAAAAAAAAATTTTTTTTCTGTCGATAAATTTAATTAACTAGAATATATTTGTACAACGACCACATACACGGAATTAAATTAGAAAAAAAAAATCTTTTTTTATAAATTATTCTAGTAAATACATTTTTAAAATTCTATTTTGGAATGCTTAAAAGAGAGCTTTTTTCTAAGAATTCCCCCAACAAGCAAAAGACAGACAAAATGTCTAAAACAATAATTCGAAATTTCAGAGAGGGAAATAGTGTGGGGAATGAAGAGAGACAGAGGAAAGGTTAAAGACGGCAATGGATCATCTACCCAAGAAAATTCAATTTTTTAAGGGAAATATCGTGGAAATTGAAGAGACAGAAGGAAAAATTATTTTTTGGTCTCAAGATGACAATAAGTCCTTAGCCTAGAAAACAAAAAATTCCTTGAAATTTCTGAGGGAAAATAGTGTGGAAATTAAAGAGAGACAGAGAAAAAATTATTTTTTAATTTCAAGACGGCAGCCCCCCTTAGTCTAGAAAAAAATTCGAAATTCCATGGAAGGAAATAGCACGGAAATTGAAGAGACGGAAAAGGAAACAAATTATTTTTAGTCTCGAGACAGCGGCCCTCTACCCAAGGAAACAAAAAAATTCTTTAAAAAAAGAAAAATGAAAGGACAAAAAAGGGGGGAGACAAAAAAAAGACAAAAAAAGGTTTTTATGTGTCCAAGTCATAAAACCAATAAAATTTTTAAATTCCCCATTTTATGCTGACGGTTCAAGTCTTCATTTAAGCCTTAAATGCGTGTGAGTTGTCTTAAGGCTTAACTTTTCCCCCTTCCCTTCTTCCCCCTTCATTTTTGCCGATACAAAAAATGAATAAAATATACCTCGTTTCATTGACAGCCCTAAAAATCCAAAGCTTTTTTTATCTTCACAAAAAAGCGCAAAAATTGGAAATCGATTCCCCTAGTCCCAAAATCTCTTATATATAAAAATATATATTAGCGGCAGCAAGCGCGTTAAATCCCCCCAGCTCCCCCCAACAACGACATATTTTGTGCTTCCTCCCCTAAAAATTTTTTCCCTCAGTTTGTGTGTATATGCTCTGTGTGTGCGCTCGCCCGTCCCGCCTTTTCTACATACCCCCCAAAAAACCATGTGATTTTTCGTTGCCGCAGAGCTACTCTACTAACTATTAAAAAAAGCTAGGCGAAGTACAGGGTGTTTCAACAGAAAAGCCCTTTTTGAAAAATTAATATCTTTTTACTGCGTGGATAGATTTTTACGATATTTGGTATTTAATACCTATAATTTATAAGGTTTTTTTTGACATAAAAATTATGTCGAAATTCGAACCCTAACCCATTATTTCAATTTCGTACTCTACCGTTCTCTTTTCTTTCTATTTTCTTTGTGTGCTATCTTACTTCATTTATTTTCCTGCGTATGGCGAAGAGAAGATACTGTATTGAAAATGTAGTGTCTATCGGCTAGTGTTTACTCTAGTGTCTATCGCCGCTCGTAACAAACAAAAGGGAGTAAGAATGGATGTGGGGAAAAAGGGAAAAACAGAACGGTAGAGTACGAAATTATCTCGGGTTAGGGTTCGAATTTCGACATAATTTTTATATCAAAAAAAACCTTATAAATTATAGATATAAAATACAAAATATCATCAAAATATGTCACTATTGAAAAAAGTTATTAATTTTTCAAAAAGGGCTTTTCTGGTGAAACACCCTGTATAAAACGCCCAAAGGGTTAGGGAAAATTTAGAAAAAAAATAAGAATATGAAAATGAAAAAAAATGTGAGGGCGTAAAAAGTGTGGCGGCAGTTTTTATGTGTTGTGTCTTTCATTGTCTCTCCTCAATTTACATAGTCTCTAATTTTAAATTTTCTCTAACTACTTCAGTTTCTACATGAAAAAGATAATAATTAAAATATTAAAAAGAAAAATGTAAAACAGTTGTGAAAAATACGAAATCTCTAATTTTAAAAAGGTCAAAAGAAGAAAATATTTAATCGTGTCTAATTAAATGTCAAAATGTAAACTCGCGTAAAATAGGACAAATAGTCTACTTTTTGGGATCAGATTTCATTTAAAAGGGTACAAAGTTGAAACATTTTTATCCATCTTTTTTGACTGTTGTCCTAAGGCAGAAAGAAGTGCATCATCAATTTGGCCCTATAAGAAAATATTTTTATTTATTTATAAGAGAACAACCATCACTTTTTTTCCTCTTTTATTATTTTTTTAATTCTCCAATTTCTTCTTTTCTTCCTTTCCTCCTCCCGTCTTCTCCACAGCACGTTCTGTCAACGACAGCATCAAGTGGAACAAAGATTTTAAACTTGCTTTTTTTCTTCTTCTTCTCCTCTTCTCTCTCTCGACTGGCTTTGTTATTGTGTTGTTATTGGTCGTTTTCCCTCGTGCCAGGACAAAACACCGTCCGACAAAATACCGTCCACTTATTAGAGCCACAAACACTTGGGGGAAACACCTTTTAAAATAAAATTTTTATACAGAGGGAGTATGGTACCAAAGCCTAATAGTCTTAGGGTCTAAAGACATTAAGGTAGCGTAAAATGAACGGTCTTTATATACTCTAATGTCCGGGACGGTGAATTGTCCTGACGGTGTTTATTCCTCCATTTTCTCCGTACCATCTCCTATCTCTTTCCTCCCTTCTCTATTATTCACAAATTAGTACTACCCAAAAGATCAACAGGTCCACTAGAGTCTCAGAATTTTTAAAAGAATAAATTTAAAAATCTCAGACTCTAATGTCCAAAAATTTTAATGTTTGTGTTAACCATTAAAAACACACAAACATATGGGAAGGGGTAGATTGATTATTTTCACGAGTGAACTCAAGCAGAGCGCTGCCTGTGAGTCCATTAACAATGTGAAAAAAAAAGAAAAAAAATAATCGTTTATTTTAGAGAGGTCGAAAAGTAATAAAAATAAATAAAAATTTTTTTTTATGTATTTGTTTTTATGGGGCTCACAATTTAGAGAAGTAATAAACAAAAAATAAATAAATAAAAAGGGGGAAATTTTTTTTGGTTAAAAAAAAAAGAGAAAAATAAAATCTTTAAAATGTGTACTATTAAAAAAAAGTGTTAAGAGTACATAGTCTTTTGGTATAAATTTCAACAAGTTGACTTGGAGGTATGTTCGAGGTTTAGGATTTTCTCAAAAGGAAGGAGAAGATACCCATACTCAACTTTTTTTATTAATTAATTATCAGATTTAAAGATAGGCGCACCCATGGGATCAACACACGTCCATTTAAGTCTTAAAAATTAAGCAGGGAAAATTTCCCCAAAACCCCGTTTTCTCCGTACCAACCATTAACAATGTGGAAAAAGGGGGACCAACATTGGTATTTTGCAAGACCAATCCATTTAGGGAAGGTTAATTGAAGTCAAAAATGACGCACCACAAGACGGGTTCAATTACCACATCTTTATGATTATTAAAAGAAAGGTCGGGGGAGGGGTCTTTAATCTCTCAATCTACAAGAAATCAAAGACCAGATTCTCAAAAATCCGAAAAGGCTTCCCTATAGGGTCGTTCTGACGCGGGGAACAACAAAATCCTCCCATCTTTTTAGTAGAAAAGAGAGTTTTCTCTAATTCTTTAGTCAAGAAAAAAAATTTTTTTAACTGAGGTTTTTATCAATTTGACAAAAAAAAAACAAAAAAAATTGAAAAAATGTGTGTGTATGTGTAAGAGTAAAATAAAATTGAATAAAATTGATATAATATATGTATAAGTCAAAAAAGCAGCAAAGCAAGAAAAAAACGAAGAATAAGAGAGTGTGTGTGTGGAGAGAGTGTATGGGGATAATGGAGAGACAATAACAAAATATTGGTACTTTTTTGAATATCCCCTTCTCCCCTCCACAATTTGAGTCTCACAGAGTTATCCTTAAGATATGAGGGTAGCTTCCCCGTCCCACGACGATTTTTTTCGGCAAAAACCCCGACCCGAACCCCGAAGGCTCTACCCTGGCAAACCCCGATCCCCGACACCGAAGGCTCGGGTAAATTAAGTCAACCTCAATTAAGTCAACCCTGAAGATCTACATCCCAAAAAATTGACCTGAAGATCTATATCTCCTTCAATCACACCAAATCCATCGATATTCCCTTACAAAAGTTGTAGGTCTTCAGAGGTAGTCAGAGACACATGATGGTCTTATGGGTCTCATGAAATCAGAGATCCGTCTCCGACTTCCTTCCTTAATTCCACAACCACATTTCCATGTGGAAGGAGACTCTTGAAGAGGATTTAATAAAAAGGGGTTCATCAACTGGAGAAGAGAATGGAGAAGGAGGGATATTCAAAAAGTACCCTTATATATTTTTTCTCAATTCATTTCAAATTTAATAAAATAAAAATAAAATAATTTTCATTTAAAGTATAGTAGAAGAATATCTACTTAAAACATTGGCCACATATTGAACATACCCGTTGTTATTATCATTTTTATTCTTCCCATTATTTTCCTGCTGCTGTAATTTTTGTTGAGTATCAAATAATAAAATTTTTGTATTTTTCTTAAATGGAGTCTTTCTTTTTCCATTCCATGGTAAATTTATTCTAGCACATACAAATGTACTTGAATCATTATTATTATAATCTTCATCAAAATCGTCATCTTCTTCTTCAACAAGTTCAACACTTGCAAGTCTTCCACCTCCTCCTCCTCTTTTATTATTATTTCCACCAAACTTTTCTGTTAATTGTGGATGTGTTAATTGTAAAAATACGTCGGGATTGATATCCTTTAAAAGGAAAAAAAATTTTTTTTAATTAATATTTTTTTTAAATTTATTCTCCTATTTTTTAAGGCTAGAATATTATAGGCACAATAATTCTGCTAAAAAATTCTGATTTTTAAAAATTATTTAAAAACAGAATATTTTAATTCTGAAATATAATTTATTAAACAAAAACAACGTAGCCAGGTTATTTTAAAAATCAGAATTTGTAATTTATGATTTTTAGAAAAATCAGAATTTGTAAAATTCCGTGTTTTAAAATCAGAATTCTGATTTAAATTTCTGATTTTAGAAAAATCAAAATTTGCAATTTCTGATTTCAGTAAATCAGAATTTGTAAATTCTGATTTTTAGAAGAATCAATTTGTAATTTCTCATTTTAGAAAAACCAGAATTTGTAAATTCTGATTATTAAAAAACCAGAATTTGTAAATTCTGATTTTTAGAAGAATCAGAATTTGTAATTTCTGCTTTTCAAAAATCAGAATTTGTAATTTCCCATTTAAAAAGATCAGAATTTGTAAATTCTGATTTTTAAAATAAAATAATAACGGAATTATTTCTCCATCATTAAAAAAATCAGAATTTAAATTTTAAAATAAATTAAAATTTAAAATTTAAAAATAAATTCTGATTTAACCAGAATAAATAAATACACAACATACCTCATCAATAGAAATTGGTCTAATAATTCTTTTATTAAAATTATTATTTAATAAATTTCCATTATTATTATAAATTGTTGATGTAGATGTTGATGGACGTAAATATGTTGTTGAAGAGGAAGATAAATAACCATGTGGATCCAAATAATTATTTGTCACTGAATTTATTATTTTTGGGGGCTGATGAGGTTGCTGTTGAGGGGTTGTTGTCGTTGTCGACGATGATTGACCACCACCCAATTGGATTGTTGAAAAATACCCAATTTGATTTTCATTTACTAAACGTTTTTTAATTTGTGGATGAATATGTTGGTTGAGAGGTTGCTGCTGAATTTGTTGTTGTTGTTGTTGACGAACATTATTTTTATTTATTTTTGAATATATCAACGTCTTTTTATTTTTTAAATTATTTTGTGATTGTTTTTGTGATGATTGTTGTTGATGTGCTGCCAATGCTGTTGTTGATGTTAATATATTTTGTATTTTTGTTTTTAATGGGGTTGTTGCTGGTTGTTGATGTGGTTGTTGTTGTCCATCTGATGAAATTGAAGATCCTTTAAAATTAATTTTTATTTTTAATATTTAGTGTAAATTCTTTTATTATAGTATTTGGATCAAAAATCGAGCTTAGACTCCCCTTAACTTTTTTTATCGATATTTGGGACCTTAGAACTAAAGATCGACTTAGAATTGAAACAAAAATCCAGGTTATCAAGATCAATATTTTTCGAACTATCAAAATTGTTTTTCCTACAATCCTTGTAGACTCTTCCAATAACTGACCCTAACCCTTAAAACACTAAAAAATGTTACGGAACCCAAAAGTAACTTTAAAAACCTTTAAAAATCCAATAAAATTCAATATATACCTTTACAAAACTATTTTCCGACCCAAAACCTAACTTCACTTTTTTTACAAACCGGGCCCTTCCTAGTATACTACAATGGACAAGAACCAAAAATATTTAACAAAAAAACCTCTAGATATTCCAATATTTGTTGTTGTCCCAGTTGTTGTTGAAGAATTATTATTATTATTAACCATTTTAATAGCAATTTTTCTTCCCAAACGTTTCTGCCTTTCAATTTCTTCCCTTTCTTCTTCTTCTTTAATTTTTCTTTCATATTCTTCAAAATAACAATTTTTAAATTGCTTCAAAATATCAATTATTGTATTTGGAAGTGGATAAAAAATTGTTGTTGAACTGCTCGAATTTGTTGAACTGCTCGAATTTGATGTTGAACTGCTCGAAATTGTTGAAGAAAAAACAAAATTTTGTTTTCCAATTAAATGCATTGTTGAAGGTATTAACATTGTTTTTGGCCCTCTTTTAGATTTTGTTAACACAATTAAATCAACCATTTCTGTTACTAATTGTGAAACTATACGTTCATTTTCGTCTATAGGATGTTCAATTTGTTGTAGCCACTAAAAAAAAAATTTGAGGGAAAATTATTTTAGAGGAAATGGGAAAAAATTGGCTCTACTCCAGTTTATGAGTCCAATCAAAAGGACTAGACCGGATAAAAAATCCAATTATTTTTGATTGTACTCATAAACTCGAGTAGAGCCAAAGAATTAGACAACACAATCTATGGGCCAAAGTTATTATCTCCTACAAAATATTCCACTCCCAAAAAAGGGCAAAAACGCAGGAAGAAAAGAAAGAGGTAGCAGGGCATAAAAAATCGTACTCATCCAAAAAAGGTTTACAACTCCAAAAAAGAGAATGAAAAATGAGAGGACTTATGTTTAGAAAAAAAGAGAGATACAATCCCCACACTCATTGTCAGTTATCCTTCATGATTAGGGTTGTTGGGTTTTTGGAAAATCTTCAAATACCCAGAACAAAAATCCTTTTAATGTCTTTCTGTTCCAACAGGCCCATAGCCAGGGGTAGTTTTTGATCCCCCATCTACCGCCAAAAATTTTTCCTGGCTATGGGCCTGTCGTCCAACTAGAGCGCGGAATTTCGTTCCGTACCGTACTACCGATACGGAATACCGATAAAATACGGCCGTAGTACGGTACGGTCCGCGCTCTAGTTCCAACAACGACATATACATGACTTAAGATAACCAAAAATTACTCAACTTTAGTTAGCCTACCCTTAAAAATTAAAAGTAAAAAAAACCTTATTTCTCTGTTCAACACATTTTTCAATCAAATCCGTATCAAGACGAGCAAATTTTTCTTTAAATACTTGTCGTTGATCCAAACGTAAAGCATCCCTTCTCATAACATTTAATCTCTGTATTTTTTCGCCGTTTTTGATTGGATCAATTTGGACAGGATTTGCTAAAGAAAAAAGAATTTTAAGGCCAAAGAAAAAACGGAGCACGCCGCAATACCAAACCCCCCAAAAACTGCAAAAATACCAAACTGGAAAAATAAAAAGGACATGTGTGTATCATGCTTACGTCATAAGCCTTCTTCGGTCTTATTTGGAGTCTCTGGCTTATTTTCTTCCGCCTCCCTCTTAAAATTCGGGTGGGTCAATTCCTGATATATAGGTATGTTCTAGAAAGCGGCCTGGGGTTTTACTTGACTAGGGGTTTTACTGGCTGTTAGAAATTCACATTTTGATTTTAGGCGTATCTTTTGGGCTTTGGTATTTCGGCATTATACCCCTCAAAAATAAAAAAATTTATACGTTGTTCAGCTAAACGAATTCCTTGTCGAACAATTTTTGAATGTTTTTCTCGATAAATAAGTCGTTGTTCTCGTATTGCTGCCTGACAACGCTTTATGGCTCTACAATATTCGTTGAGAATTTCCTTTTTGTTAAAAATACCAGCATTTCTTTAAAAAAAATTAAAGATTAGAAAATCTAAAAAAATTGGGGAAAAAAACGAATTTTATACGGGTATGGAGTTAAAACTTAAAAAATAATTTTTTCTCAACAAGCTGTTAAAAAATTAAAAACTTGGGTCTTAACCATAGAAACAACCTATATAAAACCATAAGAATCCATTTTTGGTTTTAATATAACGTATTTCCTCTAATAGAATGGCCAGCCATTTTATTTTTCAATCATCCTCCAGAGGGCCATTCAATTAGAGGGGGTCGTTTAAATGGAGAGGGACATTCTAATAGAGGAAATATTCGTTATAAGCAGCCAAAAAAGCCTGATCGAGAAACAAACACGAAAAAAACTATCCGCCATGGGATGGGCCAGGCTAAGAAAAATCCGAGGATGGGCCTGCTTAAAAAAATCCAAGGATGAGTCTGATAAAAAAATCATGGGGTGGGCCTGATTAGGAAAAAATACGGGGATGGGCCTGATTAAGAATAATTGGGGGATAGGCCTGATTAGGAAAAATCATGGGGTGGGCCTGATTTAAAAAATCCGAGGATGGGCCTGATTAGGAAAAAATCAGGGGATGGGCCTAATTAGGAAAAAATCCGGGGATAGGCCTGGTTAAGAAAAAAGCACCTCTAATCCTCTAACCTCTAATCCTAGTCAATATTAAATTTTAATTAAAAAAGGGAAAAAAAATTTCACAAAAAACCTCAAAGGATTTTCATCCCCATCAAGCCTGCTTTCACAGTATAACGGTTCATAAATAAATGGAAAGTCTGTTGGCACGCGAGAATCAAGAGTTTCATCCTCGTCAAAACTTTATAAAAAAAATTTTTAACAAAATTTAAATTTCAAAAAACCTTATAAGTTCAAGAAATCCTTCAGTAATATTAAAATTTGGGTCAAACAAATGCTTCGTTCTAAGCCCTTCTTTTCTGATACGTTCAATATAGCCTTGATGCTAAAAATAAAATTTTTTTTATTATAAATTGAAGAATGAAGACGGATCAGCTCGATAAATGTCAGAAGATAAAAATTTTTAGAACAACTTTTGACATAAATCCACAATTATATTTTGACGTGAAATATGCGCAAGAGAAGTGAATAATTTAAAAAATTCCGGGCTTAGAGCTGGAGTTTTATTGTTCTGGACCAGATCGTGAATTTACACAAAAAGTTCAAAAAATAGGAGTAGTTCAAAGCATCCATAGTCCTGGTCAGGGTGAAGGAAAACAACAGACCCAGCTCGGTATATGAACAGAATTATAATTTAGCTTATCTAGATTCATTGTACCCCCAACCCCAAGGCAACAAAAACCCGAAAAGATTTTGAAAAATATAACTCTCCAAAACCAATTCGAAAAATTGCCATTATCCCAACCTCTTTTTGCGGCTAATTTTGAGGACACAATTTTAACCAACGACCATCCTTTTCCTTCGAGCAAACTAGATTACATCAAAAACGAGAGTAACAATATATAAGAAAATAACAGAAAAATAATATAGAGGAAATGTCCTCAAAAAACCGCAAGAAGGGATATGGATAAAGAAAAAGTACCAAAAAACCCCTTCAAAAATCAAACCAAAAACCAACCTCATTACAAAATCCAAAGTCTTTAAGTTCATCAATAGACTTGAAATTTTGGCATCTCAATCTAGTCCTGTTGCTAACATATTCACATTGTTTAAGGTTGTTTTGTTGTTGTTGAAGATGAGTACTACATGATTGAATAGATTCATCATCAACCATAGAATATTTGCCTTTCTTAACTGGCGGATTCATTTATAACAAAAAAAATGTCTAAAAATAAAGGAAAATAGAAAATAAATGACAAAAAAAATAAGAAAAATTCAAGAAAGAATAGATTCTGGGAGAGAAAAAAGTGAATAAGATCGTGATCCTAAACGGCTAGGCCTGGAATTCTGGGATCGGTTTATTGTTATGGAACCTGGGTATAGCTCCGGGACTAGGCCGGCTCAGGCGGAGCCAAGATTTTGAAATACCCGAAACCGGAGCCGACAAATGCCCAATACCCAGCACTGATCTTGACCTTAGAGTTACGAAAAATGCCTCAAGAAAAAAATCCCGCGAAGAGAAAATTCCCCCTATTGCCAGACTCAAGTGTCAAGCCTGTCAAAAGAACCCCAATTTTGTCACAATTTTTTGAGTAAACGATTTTTTTGCCTAAAAGTAGAGTAAAAGACTACCCAAACCTGTCTAAAATAAAATAACAAAAATAAAATTTTTTAAAAGGTTTCGGTTTTACTTTCTGCAAAACAATATACACACACATATTATGTAAAAATAAACGCATTTTATTGATTTTAGAAGGAGAAAAGTGGAGTTAAAATTGCGAATGAGTAGTGAAGAAAAATTAAAAATGGCAGACCTTTACTTGAAGAAACGCGAAAAGAGTGTAGAAAAAGAGGAGAGACAGTTGGCAAAAATAAAAAGAAAGTTACGAAATTAGGCGAGATGTTAAAATGGTAAATTTCAAAATGTCAAAATGTAAATTATTTTTCATAACACTAACAAAAATTAAAAAAGAATGCTGGACGAGAGGAGAAAAAGAGGATTTTCAGTTCATAAACGGACAAAATGCCACTAGACATAAATATTATAAAATGTCCAATCTGACAAAATGCCACTAGAGCAAAAAATAGACAAAATGCCACTAAGCGTGAATATTACAAAATGATCGGACAAAATGCCACTAGACTTAAATATTACAAAATGTCCAACCGGACAAAATGTCTAACGACAAAATGCCCAGAAAATAAAATGGTCAAAAAAGCAAGCTAGGCTATTTGAGTCTCCATAAAATTTTTCTAAATTATTTTGTTTGATTAAAAATTCTAATAGTGACCCTAGTGATATAACATCATTAAACCAATTTTTTATCATACCAAAACTATTTTATACAAAAATTGACTAAAAAATATATTGCATTTTAAATAAAAAAAAATGATTTTTAAAATAAATTTAAGTAGTATTCTTTGATCTTTAAACAAATGAAGGGTGTTAATTAAAAGAAATTAATGAATTTAATTTTAATCACAGAATAAAAATAAAAGGAATTTTTGGAATTAAATAGTGTGTACAATTATAAAAATAACTAAAAAAAATTTTTTTTTAAGCAAAAAAAATATAGAAAGATAAAATGCTCATTTTGAGGGGAGAGGAAAGGGAAAATTTTTATTTATTTTTAATTGACAAGAAAAAATAAAATAAAACTTTAAATAATCCTCTTATTAAAAAATATTTAGGAAAAATTTATTTTCAGTCAATATTAAATTTTTCTTTTGAGTTATAAAGAAGAATAGCACTTCTTTCCATCCATTTTTCTTCTTCCTCGTTTTTATTAGAAATTTTAACTTTGCTTCCACTTCCGTAAACAATTTCAGAAATTGTTGGAATATTACAAGAAAATTCAGCATTGTTGCTAATTATAAAATTAAAACTTGACGAACATTGTTTCTGTTGTTGTTGTTGAAGATGAATAGCTATTTGTTGGGGGCGAATAAACAAATTTGTTGGGGTAGAAAATGTTGAAGGCATATTAAAACAAGCAAACACCTTAAAAATAGAGAAACAAGTTTTAAGATGTTTGGGAAACATGTTTTTGAAAACAAGTTTTAGAAATCTCCCTCGAAACAAGTTTAAAAAAACAAGTTTTCTGGAAAACAAGCTTTAAAAACAAGTTTCCGGAAAACAAGTTTATTAACAACAAGTTTTCCTCAAAACAAGTTTTAAAGAAAAACAAGTTTTGAAAAAACATGTTTACCAAAACAAGTTTTCCGGAAAACAAGTTTATTAACAACAAGTTTATTTCGGTTTATTTAAAAGTTTTTTTCTAAATTATTTCCGGAAAACATGTTTTTCTTTTTTTCAATGTTCTAGTCCACAACATTGTTTTCCGGAAAATTATTTACTTTCCGGAAAGTTTGTTTTAAAACAACTGTTTTCCTTTAAAACTGTTTTCCTTTAAAAACAACAAACATTTTCTATAAAATTGTTGACTGAATTTATTGTTGCTTCATTCATTTTTTGAAATCCCAATAATAATGAATTGTAAATGCCATCTTTGTGGAATGAAGCGAAGAGAGTGCAACAAAAATTGTCATTAACAACACAATCATCAGCAACACCATCGCAACACGAATCAAAATTTGTTTGACACTGTTCCTCATCACTTAAATGAACACTCCAACATTGAACACAACAAAATTCTGCTATCAATGCAAATCCGTTAGTTGAGGATATATTTTGGAGGTGTTCACGTGTTTTGTCTCGAACCAAAATTAATTGTTTGTCTAAAACCTGAAAATATTTGATAATTAATCTTTTTCATAATTCAATATTATTTTCCGGAAAACAAGTTTTGTTTTTCAAATGTTTTAAAGAAAACAAGTTTTCCGGAAAACAAGTTTACTTCATCAAATGTTCCACTGAAAAGAACTTTCCGGAAAACAAGTTTTATTTTTCAAATGTTTTAAGAAAACAAGTTTTTCCGGAAAAAAAAGTTTGTTTCTCAAATGTTCTAAAGAAAACAAGTTTGTTTTTAAATATTCAAAAAAAGCAAGTTTTCCGGAAAACATGCTCTAATTCTAATTTTTAAAACCTTATTAATTCTTTCCAACGTCCATTCAGAAAAAAATTCTCCCACAAATGGATTGTTCAGCAGTCGAATTAATTCTGATCGTGAAAAACTTGTTCCTAACGAAAGCAACAACCTTTCCATGTTTATCGAAACAAGTTGTTCACTACTAAAACATGCAACTTGTTCATTTATTTTTTCTTTTGTTTTGTTTGTTTCTTCAACATTATTTGTTGTTCCTAACAAATGTTCGACGGAATGAAGGTTATGTTTATTGTCAGTATTAATTGTTGCATTATTATCCTCGTTTAATTCTTTTTTAATATTATTATTTTCTAATATTTTGTTGTTTAGGGATTTTTGTTGACAAAAGGAATTACTGTTAAATTCCTGTTTATATTCCTCCTTTTTGTCTTCACAATTATTAATAGACTTTAAATGCCAATTATCGTTATTAACAGGCTTTCTATTGAGCATATTGAGAATATTTCTGAAAAAATTTTTTTAATAATTTAAAAAATATTTTTTTAATTTACATCAAATTAACCCCTTCCTTGTCTTTATTGCTAAATAAATGCTCATTATTTGACGGCAACCGATTAACAATTTGGGGTGTTTTTTGCTGTTGTTGTTGTTGTTGGGCATTTGCTAATGCTGCAGCCATCATAAAATGCAAACCTTGAGAAATTAGAGAAATGAAAAAAACATGAACTTAATTGCGCATGTTTTTCTTTGACTTTTATTCCCAACATGTTTTTACATTAATTTGTTTTTAGAAACAAGTGTTTTATTCCAACTTTGTTTTTCTCAAAAAAATGTTTTATTCCAACTTGTTTAAAAACTAATTTTGTTAAAAATGTTTTTGTTCATTTCCTTTACAAACATGTTTTAATAAACTTGTTTTACTAAAACTTGTTTTAATCAAACTTGTCTTAATTCAAGTTTATTTCTAAAACAAACCTTCAAATTGAGGAAAACATCCATTATTTTGTTTGTTGCAAAAACCGTTTGTTTGTTGTTGTTGTTGTTGAAAATGTTGTTGTTGCTCTTGTTTTATTTGTTCTTCGAAAGCTGAAGAATTATTAATATGTTGTTTTAAAGGTGAAGGAGTTGTAGTAGATGAAGAAGGAGAAGAGGAATGATTTCCAACAGAAATTGAATGTTTTTGATTAAAATAAAAACTTTCATCACTTTTCGATTCAATATCAACATTTTGTACAGAAAAAGGAAAAAAGGAAGAAACTGATCCAGGTGTGGAACAACTAGAATCTCCACCACCACAGTCTGTCATTGTTGCTCCAAGGCTGGCAATCGCTTGCCCGTGCCCAGAAGCTATCCGTTCTCGGGTATATTCAGACTTTAGCCGTTGAAATTCAGCATATTCAGCTGTATGTTTTTTCAAATGACAAGCAAGTGTACTGGTATGTGGTCCTTTAAGTTGGTAAGTACAATTGCCCACGATACATCTAATAATAAAAATAAAATTACAACATTACAACTTTGTTTTAATAACAAATGTTTTTATAAAAACAAAGTTTAATTAAAATACTCCGAACATGTGTTTTTGAATTATTCCAAACATGGTTTATTAAATGTTTAACATGTTCACTTTGATGAAACATTGTTTTTCCAACTTGTTTTATTTATTGTTAGTTAAACGTTTTATTCAACTTGTTTTGCATTACTCAAACTTGTTTTATTCAATGTTTTAAATGTTTATTTTAATTAAACTTTGTTTTTTCATATTCCAACCCAACATGTTTTTACCTGCTTAAATTCTCTGCTTTATTGTATACAAAATATTTCCAAACGGGCGTTTGTTTGTTTGTTCCGCCCGAACGTATTGCTGCCGCTGGATTTCTATGCCAACTCCAATCATCCTCGCGAAACAGTTGCGCTGCTGGGGAAACTGCAACAGCAATAACTCCAGGAATTGAAGGTACTTGTCCAAGGGGAGAAGGTGCCATTAATGCTGCAGCAGTTGCGGCCGTTAAAAGGGATTTTGACCCACCAGCATTGCGACGTTTAGAGAGTGATGAGGAGGATGAAGAGTTTGTACTTTCACAACTTTTCTAAAAAACATGTTTTTATTACAACTTGTTTTAGCAACTTTTAGTTTTATTAAAACTTGTTTGTTTTAATGTTTCATCATAAACATTTTTAAAACTTGTTTTAGCAACTTTTATTAATAAGCCTATTTAAACTTGTTTTAATGAACATTTGTTTTAATGTTTTGTTACTTGTTTGTATTACAAAAATAATAAACTTGTGTTTGTCAAAACAAATCAAATGTTTTAAGTTTTTTTTTCAAACTTGTTTTATATTCTCAACTTTGTTCTAAAACTTGTTTTACAACTTTAATAAAAACATTACTCTAACCGTTTTGTTGTCATTCTTTCTCTTCAATGCCCGTCTGTTCAATTCTTCGTCATATTCAAGTCCATTACTTCCAGTTATTAAACTTGGCGATTCTCCTCTACATTCCTTTCTTTCTTCTACTATTAAAGAATTGAAACCATTAGTAGCTGAAGAAAATTTAAAAGGAGAAATACTTTGTTCTCGTTGTTGAGGGATTGGAATATTGGAAGTTTCTTCTCCAACAAATTGTTTTTCCTAATTTAAATTTAATTTTTAATTTTAATTAAGGTTTGAATAAAACTAAAAAACACCCTCACTTCATTAACGTTAATAAAACCACGCAAAATTTTTGCTAAAACATCAGCGCTATTTGAAGTTGAAGCAGAGCTCATTTAAAAAATGTTTTGCTTAAAAATAAGAAAAATAAAGTTTTGTTTAATGTTTTTGTTTAGTTTAAAATGATTAAAACAAGTTTATTTTCCCCAAGTTTATTTTCCCGAACAAATTGTTTTCCCAACAAGTTTTATTTTTCACCAAACTTTTTTCCAAACATTTTGTTTTCCGGAAAAGTTTCTTTTCTCAAAACATTTTTATACTTAAACATGTTTTTTCACAAACAATTTATTAATTTAAACAAATAATTTTCCGGAAAACAATTTTTGGGGAATGTTTCGAGGAAAAACAAACTTGTTTGTTTTGCTAAACATTTGTTTTGTAAAACATATTATTGTTGAATAAAAAAATTAAATAAAAAGATAAGAGAAAATATAAACTGTGTAAAATTTATAACACTTGATTACCCCCTTTTATTAATTTTACCTAGGTAAATAGCTTAAAAAGTTAAAGGGGTATCTTATCTTTACAAAAACACTTTTTTTTGCTTGCTTGCTTAAATAATTTAATAATTTTTATTAAATATTTTTTTTATTTTTCTTTTTATCCCAAAGAAAAAAGGTCACAGCATCCTCTCTTCAAAGGCAAAAATCCTTAAAATTCAAAGGAAAAATAAAATCGTCTCAGATTGCGGAAATAAAAATAAAACTTTTAAAAAGGCAATATTTAAAGTATTACTCACACTTAAATAAATATAAATAAATTCATCACAGAAAAGCGCGCAAGAATATAGGAGGATAAAAAAGACAAGATATATAAGGATTGTTTGGTTTCCAAAAAAAATATTTTTTTGTTGAAAGAGAAAGTAGGGGGTGTGACCATAATATCGGCCAATTTAACAAAAAAAAGAGGCGTCGACCCATCAGCAGTTTTGAGTAGAAAAAGATGATATTTAAGTATATAAACATAAATAAATAATATACTCTTGGCCCTTCCAATATTTTTTGGTAATGTTTTAAACCCAGAAGATCGAATTAGAAATAAATAAACTTGACTGAAAACAAGTTTAATTTTCTTCGAAACATTTACAAACATTTTGTTTTCCGGGAAGTTTTATTTTTCCTAAACAAAAGGTTTATTTAAGCTTGTTTTAACAAACAAGTTTATTTTCAAATGTTTTCCAAACATTTTGTTTTTCAAAAAAGTTTTTTTATAGTAGATGTTTTTAGAAAAGAAAGTTTATTAATTTAAACAAACAAGTAAAACAAGTTTAATTTTTTAAAAACTAGGAAAATAAGAAAAACATTTTTTCCGGAAAGTTTTAGTTTCTTAAAGTCAAACAACATGTTTTTAACAGCCAAACATGTTTTAACAGCCAAACATGTTGTAGCTAAACATGTTTTTAACAAAAAAGTCTATTAATCTGAACAAATAACTAAAACAAGATTAAACTGGGAAATCTAGTCAAATATTTAGGAAAATTCAAATAATATAATCTAATAAATTTTGGTTAGTGTGATATTTAGGAAATATTTATTGAAATTGAACTTTTTCTAGGCGAGAATTGACATTTGTTTATAAAAATTGTGTGTCTCATTTTGGTACTTTTTAGGTTTTTAGGGTGGATCCCCGCACAATTTTTAACGCTTCAAAGGGAAATGGAAGGAGAAAAAGGGAAAGAGTTTAGGAGAGATTGAATTGCAAGAAAATTTTTTAGGAAGAATAAAAAAATAAGTAATCTAATAAAATAAAAGAATAAATATTCATTGCTTTTAGAGACTATTCTTGTTTATAAAAAATTTGTTTATTTAAACCTAAACCTTTTTTCTTCCCCTAAAAATCCCCTAAATACCCAAAAAATATTTTTTAGTCACCGGAAGGATTTTCGAGGAGAGAGACAAAGTTAAAAAAAGAAGAAGAGATTTGCAAATGCAATGGACCGAGGTAAGCGGTGAATCCTTTATTTTTCTTTTACTCACATACAAACCTCTTTTTTAACTTTTAGAACGACATCAAAGTCACAAATGCGCGAAAATAATAAAAAAAAGTTTTTGTCTGGTCAGAAATATATAAAAATATAAATTTAAAACTTAAAATGTATTAGAAACTAAAAAATTAAGATTAAACTTAAAATTATTAAGATTAAACTTGAAAACACAAACTTAAGTATAATTAAAACATTAAATATAGAAATTACAACAAGTTTATTTAAATGTTTTCCGGAAAAAAAACAAATCTATTTTTCTTAAAACATTTGTTCCAAACATTTGTTTTCCGGAAAAGTTTATTTTCTTTCCAAACATTTTGTTTTCAGGAAAAGTTTATTTCCTTCCAAACATGTTTTCCGGAAAAAAAGTATATGTTCTTCAAAACATTTTTCCAAACATTTTGTTTCCCGGTAATGTTTGTTTGTCATAGTAGTAAAACAAAACTTGTTTCTTATTATGTCTTCAAGTTTATTTAATTCTCTATAAAATATTAATAAAACTTGGAATTATTTTTAAAGTTTAAAACACCTTAAGAATGAGAATTTTTAGTTGCGCCAAGGTAAATGGTGAATGGAAAGAGCGGTAGAGTTGAAAAAAAGATACAATTGAGGTACAAGGAGAGAAGAAGGTCATTTTTTGAGTTAGCACTAAAAAATGATTGGATAGAAAATGAGTAAAAAAAATAGAAAAATGTATTAAATAATGATTGCATTATAGATGGAAAACTCAACAAACACAAAACATGAATAGATTTTTAAAGTTTTAATAAAATATAAATTTTAGGTCGAAAAATTTAAAAATTAAAAAAATTGAGGAGAAAGTTTTAGCATAAACACAGTAAAACAAACAAGTTTATTTAAATTAAGTTTTCCAGGTAAAACAAGTTTATTTTTCAACACAAGTTTTATAAAAACAAGTTTATTTTTCAAACATCCAAACATTGTTTTCCGGAAAAGTCTATTCTAAAAAACATTAAACATTTAAAATGTTTTTCAACAAGTTTTTCAAACATTTGTTTTCCGGAAAGGCTTATTTATTTTTAAAAACAATATTTAAAAACAATGTTGTTCAGTGTCTTTAAAATGTTTTTAAGCAAGTTTATTTATTTAAACATGTTTCCAAAACAAGTTTATTTTGTTATAAATTTGTTTTCTTAATAAAGAAGGTTTATCAAAATCCAAGTATGCGTTAATATTTAGAAGAAAAAGAAGCGGCTTATTATTTTTGACGTCCCCAAATCATTAGTTGCCTAGTTTTTTCTTGGCATTTTTTCCAACCACGTCTATTATTAGTCTTCTCATCAAAACCCTAAAAAATGCCAATTTTTCTGACCCATTTTTCAATCCCTTGGGAACATCAAATTGCGCTGTGTCAAGTCAAAATTTCAAAAATGCGTTATGAGCGTAACTTAAATCTTGATATAACTTTCACCGACTACTTCAAAATTTTTAAAAAATAAAGTTTCAGTCAGTTTTTTTCTTCATTTTTTTAGTAATGTGGTATTCCTCTGTGTATTAAGTTTTGACGAAAAAATAATATTAAAAAAATAAAGAAATTATACCCAAAAATAAACAGTTAAAAATAAATCTTGAGAAAACAAACTTGTTTTCCGGAAAAAAGAATTGTGAAACAAACATTTTTAAAAGAAAATAAATAAAACATCCCGGAAAACAATTAAAAATCGGAAAACATTAAACATTTTCCGGAAAACATTAAAACATTTATGTTTTGCTAAAACATTATAAACATTAAACATCTTCCGGAAACCAATAAAAACATGAAATGTTTTCCGGAGAACATTTAAAAACAAGAAAATATTTTCCGGAAAACATTAAAAACATTAAACAGTTTCCGGAAAACATTAAAACAATTAAAAACAAGAAAACATTAAAAACATTAAACATATTCCGGAAAACATCAAAACATTTAAATGTTTTGCTGAAAACATTAAAAACATGAAATGTTTTCCGGAAAACATTTAAAAACAACAAAACATTTAAATGTTTCCAAAAACATTTAAAAGTTTAAAATCTAAGTTTAATAAATGTTTTGAGTTTAGAAGGCGTTTCTGCTAAAGCTTCTCTCTGCTTTTTCACAGCAATGCGCGAATAACTACTTAAAAAGGGTGGAGTGAATAAAATAAAAAAAAAAAGAAAAGAGAAGTAAGGTTTGTATAAAAATGCATGAATGAGAGAAGAGTAGTAGATAAAACATACGGTAATCCTTTTGCAAGCTTTGCACCTTCTTTCTTCTTTCTTTTTATTCTTCCGGTCGAGTAAATTTTACAAAAAAAAAGTATTTATTTAGAAGGGAAAAGGGAGGAGGATTTGATGTGTAGTAAAGTGGATTTTTTTAATCATTTTATGCGTACAATAAAGTTGGTAAAAATACAAGTTTTTTAAAAATAATAATAATTTTATTTAAAGAGTCAAATTGACTGTCTAATTGAGTGAGAGTAGAAGTAGAAGTTTAAAGAATTTGAAACAGAATGAGAAAACAAACAAAAATAAGGAAAGAAAAGTGCTTAAGAAGAAGAAGCCTATTTTGTGAAATAAAAAAGAACAAAAAAGTTTATTTTTTGACAGTAATTTGGAGCCTGAGGGGATGAAGGAATGAACATTTTCCGGAAACATTCCGGAAAACAAATGTTTCGACCAAAACATTTTCAGGATTATAAAGATTTCCGGAAAACAATTAAAAACCGGAAAACATTAAATATTTTCCGGAACATTCAAAACATTAAATATTTTCCGGAAAACATTAAACCATTTATATGTTTTGCTGAAAACACTAGAAACAATAGCATTTGTTTTCCGGAATGTTTTCAAAAAATTTTCAGAATTTTCAAATTTTGACTAAAAATATTATTTAATAAACGTGATCTTTTGGATATTTTGTTGAATTTGGGTGTTGAATCGCCGCATAATTTTTATTTTTACTAATAAAAAAGTTGGGGGAGGTTCGAGTTTTACACATTTAGAAACATCCCTCCAACCTCCCTTCCCTTTACTTCCCCTTCATAAATATCCCTCTACTCACACTTTTTCTACTATTCATTTTCCCGTCAACCTACTAAATGGATTAAGAGCAACATATAGGAGGAAATAAATATTAAAAATATTGTAGGTTTAAATATGTGTGTATTTATTTTTATTTATGTGTCGAGTGGGGTTTTAAGTGTGATTAGTAGTTAAAAATAAAATTTAAAAAAATAAAAAAATTTTTCTATAATAGACATCCGTTGAGTATAAATATATCGGTCAGGAATGGATTATGGTAATTTTTAAATGAAATAATTGAAAATTTTATTTTTTTGGAGTAATTTATTTAAATTGATTTATTAAATATTTTGAACAGTAAAAATATCAGAACAAACTTTTTTTAAAAGACAAAATAAATTCTGAAAGGTTTCAGGTTAATTCCGGAATTATACAGAAATAAGTATGTAGGTCTAAAAAAGTTCAGGTTAATGTATAATTATTTCCGGTTGCTCCGGTTATAGTACTATTTAATAATTTTAATAAAATGAACCTTCCGGAAAATTATATTATTCACAAGTTAAAATTCCGGAATTTTAATTACAAAATTCAGGAAGAAATAAAGTTCCGGAAAAGTATTATAAAATTCCGGAAGTATAGAAATTTCCGGAATTTTAATATAAAACGTTCCGGAATTGTATAATTATAACCGGTTGCTCCGGTTATAAATAAAATATTTATACACAATTTATCAACACTTCCCGGATAAAAGCCTAAACCTTCGAGAACCCTTAATTCTTAAATAAAATATTTCTACCCCTTCTAAAATAAATATTAAAATATTTTACACCAAAAAATATAATCATTTTTGTCTATTAAAAAATAATTAAGTAAATTGAAAATTTTTTGTGATAAACACAAAAAATAATAAAAATTTTATTTTAATTTTAAAAAAGTAAATTAAGTAAATTAAAAATTGTAAAAAGATTATGGAAATACACAAATT